AGCTTTTACATTCACCAAGTATGCATGTCCTAATTATGCCTAAAAAGAATGCCTAAGAAAGTAAAAGAAATTTAAAAAGAAACGTGAACGGTATAATCAAAGTTAGCACAAAAGAACTAATGACACACTTAACACCTTTACATAGACTGAAAAATTGCACTTTTTTTTTTTCATGAAGGAATAATGATCATTGGGTAGCTTTCACACTAAACCAAAGGTAGCCTTCTTTCTACATGATCATACCTCTTTCAACATATTTTTAATTATAGAAGAATTCTGTCACAAGGATTAGCTGCACACTCTGGAGTAGGTAGCTCTTTTCCGTCACAGTCTCCAACATGCGATTTTATTTTTTTATTTTTTTATTTTTTTATTTTTTTTTTATACGACCAACAATCCATTTATCAAGTGAAAAAATGCACCACTACAACTTTTATGCCTCCAACAAATATACCGTTTATGCAAAAATAATGCAAATATGAATGAAAAGAAATAAAAAATGCATGTATGCAAAAACTCGTGTTACAACGATGATGCACCGTGGAAGTTGCAACACGATTCCTTTTCTAGTTCAAACAATGCAAAAATTGAGAGATTTCCTTAAGTTAGAAAACCTCTCATAATCTAATGTCTTGGTGAATATATCGGCTAAATGATTCTCGGTCCCTATGTACTCAATGCAAAATATGTATTTCTCAACTAGATCCCGAATAAAGTGATGTCTTATATCTATGTGTTTTGTGCAAGAATGTTGAACCGGATTTTTTGAAATATCAATTGCACTCTTGCTATCATAATCTACGATTAAGAATTCACTATGTCGACAATAATTCTCAATCATTTGATTTATTCGTAAAAGTCGACAATAAGAAAAATTTGATTTCATATCATGCAAAGACACCATATTATTCACAAGAATTTTCTCAAAAAGATTATCATTAACATTATTGCAAACACCACACAACTTTCTTACCATTAGATGAAACAATCTACCATTTGTTACCTCACCAAAGGATCGTGACAAAGGAAGAGATATCCGAACAACTTTTCTCCAATCAGTAACACTCACATCAGATCGTGTCTCAGCCTCAAAAATGGTATTTTGCTCGTCGGAGATACGTGTCGCTTCAGATGTTGTGTCTGGTGCTGTGTCAGGTGTCATGACATCTGGGGCGACATCTGGGACGACATCT